CTCCAACACCTCACAACACCCCACTCCCCCGCGCCCCCCCCCCCCCCCCACTCTCTACGTCATTTTATATAAAGGACTTGAGTAGCCTTAGAGTTTGGTAATCACAGGGAGTCCTGATTCAGTCTTTACAGAGGATGAGGAATGAGATGAAGGCACTGTTCCCAGTCAGTGGTCTGTCCGTTGGTCAGTCATGCTGAAAAAATAAAAGGCTCAAATGAGACATAGAGTGTTGCTGCTTAATAGTCCAGGCACTTTGAAGATGCTTGGTCCTTAGATGGTAGCTGCACTACGGGAGGTCAGGAGACGATATGTAATGGAAGTAGTTCAGACAGGACTTGTGATGGACCGGGTGTTCTGGGGAAGGTGATGGGATACATGTACACACACACACACACACACACACACACACACACACACACACACACACACACACACACACACGAATCACTGAAGGAGGCCCTCCCAAACAGGGGTACCCTCCAATTGCACTTGAAGTTGGTTTTGTTCAGAGAAGAATTTGTTGCTGTTACCTTTTCCCTTTGAAGACAAACAAGATGCCCTGAAACTGTTCAGGCCTCTTGCCTCAGCCTCCCAAGTCTGGGGGCTACAGTTTTGCACCATTTTGCTCGTGGTACTTGGCACAGCAGGGCAGGAGGCGACCGTGAGAGGGTCCACATTTGGTTCTTGGGATACTTTTGTCCTCCAGGTGTTTCCAATCTGTGCCTCCGGCCCAACCCCACTCACACATAATGCCCCTTGGCAGACTCCTGAGACTGTCCCTTCTCAGTGTCTCACACCCAGCCATTTAGGAATGGTGTTTTGACTCTTAAGCTGCATTAATACTCCATACCCGCTCTGAAACCTGATTCCATCCAGGAAGTTTGATCTGGGCTTCTTAGTGGCTTTGTGTCACTCTCTTTCTCTAAGATATTTGTCAAGAACTTGGTCTCCTGAGGTCCTGCCCCCGCCCACCCGCCAACACCTTTCATGGCTCACATCTCTCTTGTTGAAATGGCCATTCTTTTTCTGTTCTGGCTTGCTTATGTTGGCTCTGTCTCTGTCTCTCTATCTCTGTCTTCTTTACCCCCTCTCATGTGTCATATAGCTCTGGAGGCTCTCAAACTTGCTATGTTACCAAGGATGACCTTCAGCCTGTTATTACAGACATACACTGGCGTACCCAGGTTTATGTGATGCTGGCATGGGCTTTGTACATATTAGACAAGCACTACTAGCTCAGGATGATCAATCCAGGTCCTTAAAGGCTTTTATTTTCTTGAGACAAGGCCATACTATGCATAGTCCAGGCTGACCTCAAACTTGAAGCAATCATCCTACCACAGCCTTCCAAGTCCTGAGAATATAGGTGAGTGCTAGCATACCTGTTGATGAAGGAAATCCTTGTTGCACAAGAAGGAAGAACACAGGCAGAGACAGGTAAGGCTTCATCAAAGCATAAGTGAAGGCTGAGCTCTGCCTTGAGCTTGATTACACATGGATGGCAGCAGGTGATTCAGTTGAGAAAGTAGGCTCTAATGGACTTGGAGGGAGTCCAAGAAAATCAAGTCTGTTTCCTGATTCTTCTGTGTGTGCTCTGGAGAGAACACACCTCCCATGTGTGTGTCCTGAGGCTGGCATGCTGTGGGGAAGACTGAAAGTGGAGGTCGGTGTCTCACAGGGGTAAAAGATTGCTAAGGAAACTGAGGCACAGAAGTTTGTTTGTGCAGATTTCTTATTTTTTGTTTTTTTGAGTGAGGGTCTTACTAGGTAGCCTTGGCTGGCCTAGAACTCACTGTGTAGACCAATCTGACCTCAAACTCATAGATAGGGCCATGGATCTATCTGTGGCTACCAGGAGTGGTTTCCTGAATGATGTCCAAGGGACTGGGTGGTCTAGGCCACATGATACCACAAGGTAAAGATGCTCAATGTTTTTAAAAACATAGTTGTGGTGGTTTTCTTAAAAATCTTTTTGATGGACTAGAGAGATGGCTCAGTGGTTAAGAGCACTTGATGCTCTTGCAGAGGACCTGAGTTCAGTTCCCAGCACCTACATGGTGATTCACAACCATCTGCAATTCCAGTTTCATGAGATCCGATACCTTCTCCTGACCTCTGTGGGCACAAAGATGCTCATCGTGCTGAGACAAATACGCAGGCAATGTCACCGTACCCACAAAATAAAAGTAAAAAGGAATAAATCTAAAATAGTTCTTTTAAAAATCTAAAGGGATAAAATTGAGAGCTAGCACAAGAGAGAACATGGAGGGAGGAAGGAGAGAGAGAGAGGGATGTATGTGCAGGTTACAGGAGTTGGTTTTTTCCTTCTGCCACATAGGTCCTAGGGCTCAAACTCAGGTCGTAAGGCTTGGCAGCAAGCCCCCTTCCCTGCTAAGCCACCTTGACAACCCTTATGATTAGTTTTAATTCCCAACTTGATGCACCTAGAGTCACCTAGGAAGAGTCCTAATGAGGGACTGCCCATGTTAGACTGAGCTGTGATCGTATCTGTTCAGATTATCTTGATTATGTTAATGAGGTGAGAAGGTCTGTATCCACTGTGGGTGGCACCATCCTCTAGGCAGGAGATCCTATATAAATGTAGAGAGGGCACTGAGCAGTTGTAGGCATGTATGCATTCATTTCTCTCCCAGCTCTTGACTGTGGATGTGACTAGTTGCCTCAAGTTCTTGCAATGGCTTCTCCACAGTGATGGACTACAGCTGTTGTTTAGTAATTTCTTTCAAGATTACAAACTTCCATCTTGGAAGAAAACTTATTAAGCCACAGAAGGTTAAAAGAGAGGTGAAGCAACAGGATGGTCCAAAGGGATGTGAAATATTCCATCAATATTCATGTTAATAATCCCAACTAATTGTTTCATCAAGTGGACTTTGTTGGTATCCTTTATTTGATCTGTAGCTGATTCCCTAAGTGGAGTTAGTAGATGTTTTTTCTTGTCTCCCAGGAATAGCATCACACAACAGAGACCTGGAAGTATAAGCCAGATAAATCTTTTCTATCTTAAATGTGCTTTTGTCAGGTTATCTTTTCACGGCAACAGGAATGAAATGAGGACATCTTTGAGTGAATATGAGAACATTCCCATGAATCAGATATATGATGGTGGGACTGTGTTTAAGATGTGTTACAGTTGTTGAGGCTGTGGAATATTTGTTTAAGAATGAAAAGAAGTATTGCATTCTTTCATGATGCATTAAAAAACTCTGTAAAGCTGTGTTACTTTGTCTGCCTAAAACACCCGATTGATTTAATAAAGAGCTGAATGGTCAATAGTGAGGCAGGAATAGGCAGGTATGCCAGGCAGAGAGAATAAACAGAAGGGGAATCTAGGCTAGAAAAGAAGACTGAGAAGAGGGAGGAACAAGAAGAGGAGAAGCTGGAGAGACGGCTCAGAGATGAAGAGCACTGGCTGCTCTTCCAGAGGACCAGAGTTCAGTTCCCAGCAACCACATGGTGGCTCACAGCCATCTGTAATGAGATCTGGTGCCCTCTTCTTTCATGCAGGCATACATGCAGGCAGAACACTGTATGTATGTATAAATAAATAAAATCTTAAAACCAGAAATAAAAGGAGGAGTGGAGGATGCCAGGGGCCAGCCACCCAGCCACACAACCAGCCATGGAGTAAGAAGGGAAGAAAGGCATACAGAGTAAAGGAAGGGAAAAATCCCAGAGGCAAAATATGGAAGAGAAACATATAAACACACAAGTTAGAAAAGCTGGGTAGAAACAAGTCAAGCTAAGGCCATGCACTCATAAATAAGTTTCTGCGTATAATTTAGGAGCTGGGTGGCAGGCCCCCAAAGAGTTAAAAAAAACAAAACAAAACAACTACAATCAGCTCACACTTTTATAGCATCTTTGAGGTTAAAATGCCATTCTGTGCAGTGCTAGGCACAAGGGTCATTGTGAGGGCTTACAGATTAATCAGCGAGGAGTTTTACAAGGCCAGGTGGTTTTGACATGGAGCACAAACTCAGTGCTTGGTATTCAAGTCTTCTGTCCCTACACCTGTTCCTTGGATTCTTGTCAGCTGTGGTACAGCTGCCCATGGGAGACATTGTGGGTGTCATTGATTTCTGATGCTCAACTCTCATGTTATGCAGAGAGAGTGACTTACTGAGGCTGAGTTGCCATGTTGCTTTCAGCTTTTGCTTTCCTTGTCTCATCCCACTGCACCGAGAGAGATTGGGACAGTCCACTGTGTTCTATGTGGCAGAAGTAGGGGTCTCTGTCTTGAGCAGGAACTTCCACCTCCACCCAGGATAGGTAAGTGCCATTTCCATTGGGAAAAACACCTCCTGATTTAGATGTCAGCATCTTGCCGGCCTGGTTCCAGTGCAGACTAATTCCTTGTGGGTAGAAGTCATAGGCCAGGCATTTAAATATCCTGTTTCTTCCTGGGGCTGTATGGCTGGTAATGGTCACAGTAGGAGGATCTGTGGAAGGATAAATGGACATTGAGAGTTTAAGGTGGACTTTTTCCTTCCACGCTTTTATCCCTAACTCCCTTCATGGCCATCCAATCTGACTCCTCCAAGACATCCTTGTGAAGCTCAGGAAGGCCTGAGGCTTCTCCCAAGCCTTCTCTGTTGGGTTATGTAATATGTCCACAGCTACTCTCTCACTCCCTGTCTCATGATATGGTGTATTGACTTCAGTTGACAACTGAGGCAGAGTTGGGGAGATGGCTTAGTGGGTAAAGGTCTTGCTCCATAAACACAGTGGTCTAAGTTTAAATCTCCAGAACACATGTGAAAGTTGGATGCAATCACGCATGTCTCTATTCCCAGAGCTCATATGTGGTGATAGGGAAATACCTGAAAGCTGGTGGGCAGGCTAGCCTGGGGTCTCAGACAAGGTGGAAGGTGGGGACCAACAGCTGAGGCTGTCTTCCAATCTCCACAGATGCACCATCACACACATACACCCATATACATACATGTATGCTTATATACACACACATATATACACATACACACAGAGAGACAGAGAGAGAGAGAGAGAAAGAGAGAGAGAGAGAGAGAGAGAGAGAGAGAGATAGAGAGAGAGAGAGAAGACAAAACATAGAGATAGGAGATCTTGCTACATAGCCCAGGCTGGCTTCGAATTTGTGATATTTCTGCCCCTAGTGCTGGGATTACTGACATATAGCACCATGCCCAGATTGTGAGTGTTCTGAGTGTGCTGTATAGTACCCCCCATCCCCCGCCATCTCAGCCCAGCTCCTCAGTTCTGTCTACATCTCTGTCCATTAAGCGTTTTCCTATTCTAAATAGTCTTTCTCCCCATTCTCCAGTGGGAGTCTCAGTGTGCAGCACTTGATTCTGCTTGCTCATTCTTCCTAGCTAGATGTTTTACAAACCTACCTCCTTGCTACAAACAAGACAAGAGGCATCACTGTATTGAGGAACTACTATGAAGTTTGGTATCTGAAATACAGAATTTGAATGACAGTTGAAGCTGATTCTGTTTTCTTTTTTTCTTTCTCCATCCCTCCTACCCCTTTCAGAGACAGGATATAGCTGGCTTGGTACTTGTCATGTGGGCTGGCCCTGAACTCATGGCAATCCCCTAGCCTCAGCCTTCTGAGTGCTGGGATTAAAGCATGTGCTGTAAAGTAAGGATTATTTAGGGAAAGCCATTCAGTTAGGCTTGTTTCTGACTTTTTTGTTGTTGTTGTTTTTTGTTTTGTGCTGACGATTAAATCTAGACTCTTGTACATGCTAGGCTCTACCACTGAGCCATACCACCAGCCCCTCACTGGGGGATTCTAGGCAGGTGCTCTACCACTGAGCCACACCCCAGTCCCTCACTGGGGGATTCTAGGCAGATGCTCTTAAACTGATCTATACACCCTAGCTCTTTCCACTTGAAGTTTTGATGAATATTCTCTTTGGTGCTCACATCATTCCTTCAGAAGGAATGAATCCTAGTAGATGATAGCTGTGGGACTAAGGGACTAATAGCAGTTGACGAGGAAACCAGTCATGGTCCCCTGAGGCTGAGATCACCTTGGTTTCCAGTTCAGTACTTGGAGCAGATCATCAAAACAGTGCATACCTTTTTGGTCCAGGTGAGATCTACTGTAGTTGAGGTATCTCTTCAGCATTGTAGGGCACTCCTCTTCCAGGTATGCCTTGGCTCGCTGTGTGTATGCTTTTTCTGCCTCCCACTTCTGTTTGGTGTTCACAGCTGCTGGGTCTAAGGGGATCCAGGCTGGGATTTCCTTGTTGAACTCTATGAAATCCTGTCCATCGTAGGCATATCTCCAGAATGCTCCACTGCTTCTGTTATTCAAGAGCTCACAACCGAACATTCCCTGGAAGGTGTGAGACCCTGAAGCCTCCCGACCCCACAGGGAGTCAGTCAGATGGGTGCCAACTCCAGCTGAGCGACTTTCATTCCTGCAAGCTTGGAACTTCTGAACACTCAGTTCTTTATCTTGGCAAACAGGATGCTAGCCAGGCACACAGCAGCAGAAGAAACTACTTGGCTAGGGGTTTCGGGTCACTCAGAGAGGAAATGCATTCTTAATATTTGGAGAATTCTATAAATTGTGGATGGATTCCCAAGTCTATTTCTTTCTAGCAGGGTCTTGTATATTAACCTCAGATACTCTGGGTACCAAGGATGACTTTGAACTCCTGACCCTCCTGTCTTCATTTCACTAGTGCTGGGTTTACAAGTGTGTGGCACCGTACCCAGTTTTATGTAGTGCTGGGGACTGAACCCGGGAACTCTTGTGTGCTAGGCAGACACTCAGATTTTAAGCCGTTTGCATCATCTCACCTAATGAACTTACATTTTTTTTTTGTGAGTGATGAATTCTTCAGGATTATTACACTGAACTTCATTTCCAAGTTAAATAGGAATTATTTGTGGTTTCTTACATATTATAGGGATTTCTACTTGTCAGTTCTATTTTGCAATTCTAATACTTACTCAAACACATAATTTATCCTTTTCCTCTTTTCATTGGTTACTATCTTATTTATTTAGTTTTTGGGACAGGGTCTCACTTTATAGCCCAGGGTGCCTTGGATTGCATTATGGAGCTTAGGCTGCCACAAACTCATGGCAATCTCCCTGTCACTGCTTTCCAGATGCTGGGACTCTCTGTTTTTGCTTTCCAGATCCAGAATTACTGACAAGCTGCCACCCTTGGTGTTTACTCCAAACTTTTAAAGCCTTAAGGTCAGTCTGATTACAACAGCGGGTGTTTACCCTAGGTGTTTACCCAGTTCTGAGTGGTGCTGTTGGCACAGGCTCTATAAGCTCTTAAGCTGTTTGGGTTTAAATTCCAGATCTTCTCCTGGTCTGTCCACCTGCTTTGTCAAGTGAACTATGAAGTTTAATTGAGCTTAAGTGGAACACTTAAACAAAATCCTCGAAATGGCAACAGTAATAATAATCTTTGAAGATGCTATTTTGAGCAGTAAATGTGTTCATACATGAGCCTGGCAAAGAGTAGGTGCTCAGTAAAGGCAAGTTACTGTTAATTTATGTCTTATTAATTAGATAATTGTGGTATGTGTATGTGTGTGGGTGCATGTTTGTGTGTGTATGGTACCTATGCATGCACTCTCTGAGCCCACAGGATGCTGGGATGTTCCTTTATTGCTTTCCAAGTGGATGGTGTTGAATCTGATACCTTCTCAAGTGAGTGGGGGCCTGGAATTGAAAGGTCAGTGGTCCCTGGGTAAGAAGTGATTCTGACAACACTTCCTTTATGGGTTGAGGTCTACAGAAGAAGCTCTGGGGAAGGAGGAGGGAGATGTGAGTGCGCTCCCCCCCCCCCCCCCCCCCCCCCCCCCCCCCGTGATTAGCTCCATTCTGTGGAATCCTTTCCACTCATTGTTCTGTAATAGCTCACTGACCTGCACTGTCCTTGTAATAGTCCATGATGTCTTTCAGGGTCACAAGGAAGATCTCCTCCCTGGCCTTCTGAAGCTGGCTCTCCTTCTCCCAGTCCTCCATTCCTTCTATCTGGCTCCACGGCCCCACAGGCTCCACCTTCCCACTGTTGCTGTTGTAGTGGAAGAAGGCCTGGTCATTGAGAAATGCAGTGGCTTGAAACCTGGGGATGCCTTTGCTGGGCCTGGACAAGCCCGTGTAGAGGAAGACCAGAGAATAAGGACCTGCAGAAGAGGAGAAAACTCTGAGGGGTGGGGTTTATACACACTTTGGAACTGCAGAGACCCAGGAGGAAGGATTGGCCATGGAACCTTTTCCTCCCCTTCTCTGACTGTCACCTCATACTGTGGGAGGTTCACTCATGTGAAGGGGCTCTATTTTTACTGGGAATGTCACGCCAGAAATTGTTCTGTGTTGTCTCAACACTGTACCCTCTAATTTGCATATAATTTTATTTGTGTGTGTGTGTGTGTGTGTGTGTGTGTGTGTGTGTGTGTGTGTGTATTGTGTATGGTATATGTATGTGTTCTTGTGGGTGTGGGCACGTGCCAGAGGTCAAGCTGGGATGTCTTCCTTCATTGCTTTTCATCTTTTTTAAAATTATGTGTTTGTGTGTGTGAGAGAGACAGAGGGCAGACAGAGAGATTTGTGCACACACATACATACATATGCCACTGTGTGTGCAGCAGTCAGAGGACAGTTTGTAGGAATTGGTTCTCTCTACCATGTGGGTCCCAGGAATCAAAGTTAGTTATCAGGCTTGGTGGTAAGTACTATTACTACTGAGCCATCTCTCTGGTCTTCCACCTTATTTTTTTGAGATAGTGTCTCTCACTGGACTTGTAGTTCATCAGTCCAGGCAGATTGAACCATAAATAAACTCTAGGGATCTATCTATCTCTCTGTCACTCTGTCTGTCTGTCTATCTGTCTATCTATATTATATTCATCCATATACCCATAACTTATCTATATCTTCCTGAATATCTATTTATCCAACCATCATCTGTCTTTCTTTCTGTTTGTCCGTCCATCCATCCATCCATCCATCCATCCATCCATCCCTTTATCCATCCATTCATGTATCTATCCCATTAGTTCTGTTTCTTATGAGGCCTCTTGCTAATTCATATTTTTAGTATAGAATATAATTAATGTTAAATATTTATTTTAAAAATTATGTACACTGTGTATGTATATAATTTTCTTCCCAAAGAGGCCAGAAAAGGGCATTGGTTCCCCTGGGAATATAGTTACAGCCAGTTATTAACTGCTACATGGGTTGGTTCTGGGAACTAAACCTAGGTCCTCTGCAAGAGCAACAAGTGCTCTTAAGCACTGAGCCCTCTCTAAAGCCCCTTTAGAATATACTTAACATTCTAAACACAGTGCCTTATTACAAAACAGACATAAATAACTATGTAACATTCTGGGAATGTACTAAGTTTTTGAACTGGCACAGTTTAGAAATCTTCATTCAAAATTTTGTGTGCAGTGAACAGTTTCATTCCCTGTCCTGGAACTGAGGGTCTCCTGGTTCCCTGCTGCCTTGTCTCATGTTGGAGGAAGGTCCTGGTTTCCTCATAGAATCTTCTAGCCTGCTCCTGTATTTTTCCCCAGGATCCCTTCCATTTCCCCCTAGTCAGACAAGTGTGTCCAGTCCATGGAAGAAGGGGAGGAGAGAGTAGAGGAAACTCCATGTGGTCCTTATTCAGAGCAGGTCATTTTGCTTCTTTAGTTATATTTTCCCCATCTGAATAATAAAAAAGTCATATGTGGGGGTATGTGTTCATGAGTTTGTCATAGTCTGCATGAGGGTCAGAGGACAAGCTTGGGTGTCAGTCTTGCCTTCCACCTTGTCTGTTGCTGTGGAAGCCATGGTAGCTGGCCCATGAGCTTCTGGGGATTCCTCTGCTCTGCTTCCCTTCTTGCCATAGGAGAGCTGAGATTATAGACAGATGTGACCACATCTGGATTTCTGCGGGTCCTAGGGATCTGAATTCAAGTCCTCAAGATCATACAGTTAATGTTTTATCCACTGAGCCACCTCCCCAGCCCTGATCTGGATTTTAGATTCAGATTCTTGACTCTTCTTAACAAACCAAACCAAACCAAACCAAACCAAAAAAAAAAAAAAAAAAAAAACACTATATAGCGCAGGCTTGCCTTGAACTTTTGATCTTCCTGCCTCCAGCTTCCACGTGCTGGGATTACAGGTATGAGATCCGTGGTTTATGTGGTGCTGGGGTAGTGAACCCCAAGGCTTCAGGCATGCATGCACAGCACCCTAGCAACTGAGCTACACTGTTAGCCGTTAAGTTCATATTCTTTAAGGTCTTCTTTAACACAAACCTAGTGATCTAGGTTAATTGGCAGCTTTACAAGCCCATTACCACTGCACATATGGGAATCTCAGATACTCAAAGGACCCTTCTTATGGCTCAGAAGTTTGTTTTCTGCTTTCTCTTTGTTTCTCTCCCAATCTTCTTTATTTTGTCTACTCACCAGTCTCCTGAAGGACTGCAGGACCCAGAAGGAGAGGCAGAGACAGCAGGACAGGCACCATTGCTGCTGCAGTGCCTGGCACAAAGGTCTGCGTAGGAAGCACAGCTCTCTCCTTGAGGCCTGGCACCCTGCCCAGGGGAGGTGATTCCACAGCCAATGAGAGATCTTAAAGGAATTCTTCCTCAGACAGTGCTGAAAACAGATGGACAAACAGGCTGGGCAGAAGTGTGGTCACAGGCTTCACACACAGAAGCTGCTGAGAGCAGAGAGAGCCAGTCTTAGGACCAAGACCCTGTGTGTTGTCCCTCAGGTGAAAGAGCAGCAGTGGGATGGAGATGGCTTGAAGGCGTGCTGTTCTTACAGTATATATTGACATCCTATCTTGGAATCAGCAGGGGATTTGGGTGTTGTAAGATCATATTCTAAGAATGAACTCTTCTTTCTACAAAAGTTCTGAATATGCCCAAAGTGTAGTCCTGGTAGATTATATCCTGTGAAATCAAGGGAAAACCTAAACACAACCCCAGCTTCTCTTGCTTTTAGACTTCATTGACTGATGGTTTGAGATGGGATCTCACGTGTCCCAAGCTGTTCTTCAACTTCCTATGTAGCTGATAATGATCTTAATGCTTCTATGCCCCAAGCCCTGGGATCACAGGCATGAGCCACCACACTTGGCTTATATGGTGCTGGGATGGAACCTGGGGCTTCATGCATGTTAGGCAAGCACTCTGAACTACATCCCAGTCCCTTAGTTGACTTTAAAGACCACTAATTTTAAGCCGGGCAGCGGTGGTACACGCCTTTAATCCCAGCACTTGGGAGGCAGAGGCCTCTGTGAGTTTGAGCCTGTCCTGGTCTACAGAGTAAGTTTCAAGACAACCTCCTAAGTTATAGAGAAACCCACTGTGTGAACAGTTAAACCAGGGATTTTATTCAGCTTTTTCTCTTGGTAGCAGGTTTATTGCATCCAGCACCAGGGATTCATTGAATTCCCTAGAAGATGTGATGGATAGTATGATTGTCAGTGTGTCAGTATCTAGAATCATCATAGAGACAGGCCTCTGGCATCTCTATAGAGGGTTTTCTAGAGTGGGTCAATTGAGCTGTGAAGCCCCACCGTGGGCATAAACGGTACCATCCTATGGGCTGGGTCTCTGACTAAATTGAAAAGGAGAAAGTGAGCTGTCTGCTCCCTGATGGCAGACACAATGTGATTAACTGTTTCATGCTCCTGCCACCATGCCTTCCTCACCATGAAGGAGTGTGTCCTTGAACTGTGAGCCACAATAAACCTTCCCTTCCTTAAGTTGCTTTGTTAGGTATTTTGTCATGGCAATAAGAAAAGTAACTAATACCACATCTATCTATGTATCTATCTATGTATCTATCTATGTATCTATCTATCTATCTATCATCCATCATCTATCTATCTATCTATCTATCTATCTATCTATCTATCTATCTATCATCTATCTAATCTATCCATCATCCACCCTTACATCTTATCCATCTATCTATCCATCTATGTATGTATGTATGTGTCTTCATCATCATCATCATCATGATCACCATCATCATCACCATTATCTATGTGTGTGTGTACATTCCAGAGTCAGGAGAAAACCTGCAGGACTCAATTCTCTCCTTCCACTATGTGGAAGGACCTGGATATCAAATTCAGGTCCTCAGGCTAGTAACAAATGTCTCTGCCTGCTGAGCCATCTGGCTGGCCTGAAATTCTTCTCCTTTTAAACAGCATCTCACTATGTAGCCTCGAGGTCTCAGATATCTGCCTACCTCTGCCTCTCTAGTGCTGGGATTAAACACACCGCCACACCCAGCTGAAATACATTTAAGAATAATTTTTTATTACATTTATTTGTATGGTGTACATGTGTGTGCATGCAAGCATGCCGTAGCATATGTGAAGTCAGAGAACAGCTTTGAGGACTCAGTCCTCTCCTTCAACCATGTGGCTCTCAGGGATTGAACTCGGGTCATCAGGCTTGCCAGCAGGCCCATTTACTCCCTAAGCCATTTTTTCAAGACTTCAAATGTGCTTTATTTATTTACTATTTATTTAGGCTTTTGGAGACAGGGTTTCTCTGTGTCATAGCCCTGGCTATCCTGGAACTCTCTTTGAAGACCAGGCTGGGCTCAAATTTACTGAGATCTGCTTGACTCTGCCTCCCCAGTGCTGGGATTAAAGGCGTGCACCACTGAGTCTGCTGAACTGTGCCTTATCTAAATAATCAGTGTGTTGTCTTTCAAAGCTTGGAGTGGCTGAATTTTCCATCTGGAGCCTTTATGAACTAAGTACAATACTGTGTTTATAACCTAGTAGGCTTGAAAGATGGGAATCTCAGAGTTAGCCAGGATGTGAACCACTGAATTGTGACCAAAGTCCTGATCTTTATTGTGTTTGTGAGAATTTTGCTGGTCCTCTCCACAGTCTGGATCACACTTATTGTATTTGATCCTTTCAGTAATTTATCCTTTCATTAATACATTTCATCAGTGTTGTATGTGTACATGCATGCTTGTGTTCGAGAGCGTGTGTGTGTGTGTGTGTGTGTGTGTGTGTGTGTGTGTATGTGTGTGTGTGTGTATGTGTGTGACGCAGAGGACAACTTGCAGTTGTTTCTTTCCTTCTACCAGGTGGTCCTTAGGTGTGGCAGTGAGGTACCTTTCCCCACTGTGCTGTCTCCCTAACCCGTCATGGGTTATTTTTAGCAGGCCTCAAGTAAGCTAAATCAGAGTACAACACCAGAGTGAAGGGTCCCTGGCCAGGCTGCTATGGCTGCCCTCAGTATCTGGAATTAGGAGTCTCACTCTATTTCTCCTTTCCTTGAAATGGTTTCCTCTTGGAATAGGTTGAGTACTCTCTCTCTCTCTCTCTCTCTCTCTCTCTCTCTCTCTCTCTGTGTGTGTGTGTGTGTGTGCGCGCGCGCATGCTGCAGCACACACATGGAGGTCAGAGGACACCTTGTGGGAGTCAGTTCTTTCCTGGCACTGTTTGGGAGGACTAAATTCCAGGCATCAGTCTTGGTAGAAGGCGCCTTTCCAACTGAACCCTCTTGCCTGCCCATAGGTGGATGATTTCTTAGAGGTTGTCCTTACCTACAATTCAGTTTGTTGTTAACTAGGTACATTAGAAACAAGAATATGTAGAAGGGCCAGGTGATGGTGGCACATGCCTTTAATCTCAGCACTTGGGAGGCAGAAGGCAAGCAGGTCTCTGGTTTGAGGCCAGCCTGGTCTACAGAGTGAGTTCCAGGACAGCCAGGATTACAAGGAGAAACCCAGTCTCAACAAACACAAAAACAATGAAAAGAAAAGGAAAAAGAGAAAGGGATACCTATAAGGTATAACTATACAAAAAATCCCCACCAACTTTACTAGGGGAAAGGGCAAGAATGCCTTACTCTTGTGTTCCTCAGGAGGAGTTTTGGGGAATCTTCTGGAGCCTGCCAAATGGGCTTGGATTTTTTTCTACAGCCCAGCTCTCCTTATCTAGTTAGTGTGGCTAGCTCTTACTCAGCCTTAAGCCTTCTTATCTGCTTTGGTGGTCCCGACCTTGTTGTTTTAATCCAAACACTGAAAATCTTTCTTCTCTCTCTCTCTCTCTCTCTCTCTCTCTCTCTCTCTCTCTGTGTGTGTGTGTGTGTGTGTGTGTGTGAGCATGCCACCACTTGTATGTATCAGAGGGCAGCTTTGAATGTTGGTTCTATTTTGATTGAAATAGTGTCTCTTTTATTCACCAGTATATCCCCCAGGCTAGCTGACCTGTGCAGTAGCTTCTGGGACGTCTCCTGTCTGACCCCATCTCTCTGTAAGTAACAGCGCTGGGAACCACTGAGATTACAGATGTGCACTACTGCATCTGGCTTTCTGTGGACTCTGGGGGTCCGAGCTCAGGAGCTTGTGCAGCCAGCACCTTACCCACTGACCCATCTCCCCCAGCCCCTGGCAGTCATTTCAGGGGTGACACTTCTCACTCCCTTAGGTAGGACTAAGGACTGTACACACAAGGATCCCAAACTATTTCTTTTTCTTTTGAGAAATTTTCTTTTTCCTTATCCATGACCTATCACCAATAAAGCAAACTTTGATGCTGTGTGCCCTAGTTATCCTTTAAGCACAAGTCAACATTTCTTCTGGAATCCAGGGCTGGAGCTGAAGACAAGTGAACAAGTTAATGATTGATACCACAAGTGCCATGAAACCTGTTTTTTTTTTTCTATTGATCTTTATAGGTGTTGCAAGCGTTGTTCCTTTAATGTTTGTTTTCACTAGCTCCCTGCATGGCTGTTTATTTCAGGAGGATATCTGTGTGTGTGTGTGTGTGTGTGTGTGTGTGTGTGTGTGTGTGTGTGTGTATGTGTGTGTGTGTGTGTGTTTTGTATATGTGTGTATACATATGTGTGAGGGCCAGAGATTGATGTCTTGTGTCTGCCTCAGTTGCTCCGCACTTTATATTGAGACAGGATCTCTCACTGAATTTGGCAGGTTTGTCTTGACTGATTGGCCAGCAAGCCTCAGGTATCCTCCTGTCTTTGCCTTCCCAGTTCTGGGATTACAGATATGTGCTGCTTACTTGAATTTGGGTCCTAATATATACACAGCAAGCACTTTAGTGACAGCTGTCTCCACAGATGACAGTTTATGCTTTTATGCATCTTTCTGTGCCCACATATCCACCCGCTCTGCAGCTAAGCTGGGAGAATCCACCCCCCCCCAAGCCTTGGCTAAGGCACTTCAGAAGCCAAACAAACCACACAGCCAAGATTCTGGCTCTGTCACCTAATGGGCCAGCCACAGCTTTCCAGGGTCAGCAAGGAGCACACTTCATCCTGTTCCTTGGAGGTCATGCTGAGATCTCATCTGTCAATCTCAGTTCAGAAGCCTTCTGCTACATCTGATAGGAGGGTACAGAGTTGGAGGTTGGTGTTGGTGGGTGTGTCCCCTACAGAACTTAGCTGTGGACCATTGAAAGGCACCATCAAAGATCATCTTTAGTGACACTCTGATGCAACCTGCTTCCATCGATGGGAACAA